TATATATATATAGTCAGATCTGCTCCTTCCTGTCTGTCAAAGACAGGAAAGGTCTTATCTGACTTGTGGAAGTGTTCCTGAGCCCCTGCAGTAGTGTCCAGAACAGAGTCAGAGTCTAACCTGTTTTTAATGCAGCGGCTCCTGAGGACCCAAAGATAGATACTGTATATGGATGAACTGATGAAGGGATGAACGTATGGACAGATGAATGGATGGACGTATGGTTGAATAAGAGGATGGACATATGGACAGATGAATGAATGAAAGGATGGATGGATGGATGGATGGATGGATGGACAAATGAAAGGACAGATGAAGAGATGGATGGATGAAGAGATGAACGTATGGATGGATGAATGAATGAACGGATGGATGGATGATGGATGGATGGATGGATGGATGGACAAATGAAAGGACAGATGAAGAGATGAACGTATGGACAGATGAATGGATGGACGAATGGATAGATGGATGGATGGATGGATGGATGGATGGATGAAAAGATGGATGGATGAAGGGATGACTGTATGGACAAATGAATGGATGAACAGATGGATGGATGAAGAGATGACCGTATGGACGGATGAATGGATGAACAAATGGACGAACGGATGGATGGATGGATGGATGGATGGAAGGACAGATAAAAAGATGGACGGATGAAGGGATGAATGTATGGACAAATGAATGGATGAACAAATGGAGGAACGGATGGATGGATGGACGAATGGATGGAAGGATGGACGAATGGATGGATGGATGGATGAAAGAACAGATAAAAAGATGGATGGATGAAGGGATGAATGTATGGATGGATAAATGGAAGGATGAAGGGATTTATTTATTGTTATTTTACCAGGTCCCACTGAGATCTCAGATCTCTTTTCCAAGGGAGGCCTGGGCCTGAAGGCAACATACTGTACATGTTTGTAGGGGTGGGGGAAACTGGAGAAAACCCACACAAGCACGAGGAGAACATGCTAACTCCACACAGAAAGACCCCATGTCTGAACCGGGGATCAAACCCAGGACCTTCTTGCTGTGAGGCATCAGTGCTAACCACTGATCACATATGGACAGATGAAGGGATGGATGAAGGGATGGACCAATGGACCAATGAAAGAATGGACGTATGGACAGATGAAGGGATGGATGAAGGGATGGACGAATGGACCAATGAAAGAATGGACGTATGGACGGATGAAGGGATGGATGAAGGGATGGANACCAATGAAAGAATGGACGTATGGACGGATGAAGGGATGGATGAAGGGATGGAGGAAAGGACCAATGAAAGAATGGACGTATGGACGGATGAAGGATGGATGAATGGACCAATGAAAGAATGGACGTATGAAGGATGGATGAAGGGATGGACCAATGGACCAATGAAAGAATGGACGGATGAAGGATGGATGACTGTAGGCCTGGGAGATAAACCAAAAAATAACTGATACCAACATTTATGTCAGTAACCTACGCCGTGTCAGTATTTTCTGCATTTAAAAAATGAGAAAAAGAGAAACCTGCTCGTTGTCTGTTGCGGTCTCAAGCCCCCCACTCTGATACAGACACTGGTTTCAACAAATCAAACACACCCCACAGTTTTATCCAATCAGAGCAGGGCAGGGCGGGTCTTTCTGATGTTGGAGCAGCAGTCTGCAGGATAAACASCAGTCAGCCTGCAGCTCCTGTCCTGAGTGAACAAACCTCGTCCTCCACACTTCTCTCTGAGCTWCCAGAGACGTTGTATCTAAAATCTGACACACTCTAAGTTTGTGTTCAGAGTGTTGTTATCTAACAGATATGTCTAACTTTGTTCATGTGACCAAACCCCTCTCCTCCTCAGCACTGTTACAGGAGTGAGGTGCACACAGGCTGTTCTGATAGCTGCTGATCAGCTCTTCTAATGAAACAATGATGAACTTTTCTTTGTCCCATATTATAGAAAAGACAAGTCTCTGCTTAGCTTTACCCCACACACACACACACACACACACACACACACACACACACA